GTAAATCTCAACGTACCGCTCCAGCATTAGTTTGAGGTCCTCTTGCTGTCAGCGTTTGATGGGGATTCTCCATGGTGTTAGTCCGATGGAGGAGCCGAAAGATCTTGCTAATTGCAGACAGGCTTTCATCATAGACGCGTGGATTCGACGCTTTGCGGCTTCTTCGTCCGTCCCCGTACATACTAAAAGTGCACAGCAGGACAGTCTCGAAGCAAGTAAGGTTTTGGAAGCTCGAGCTATCAGCCGTAGACGGGGTAAGAACGTGCCGTTGCTGGTGGCCACCTTGCCGTACCACTCGCGCTCCGTTTTACAACTCTTCTGCGCCACTAATGGGGTCTGTCAGATCCTGATCTCTTACTGTTTCTTCGGTGGCTTCCTATTCTCATGCGTGCAGCACTGAAATGAGACTTTCGGACCGCATACTGTTTCTTCGGTGGCTTCCTATTCTCATGCGTGCAGCACTGAAATGAGACTTTCGGACCGCATCGGACCGTACCGTATCGGACCGTATGGTAGCGTATTGGACCGTATCGGATTGCAGCGAATGGGATTGCAGTTCACCGGACAGTACCGTAGTCTTTCTAGCTAGCAAGTAGCCTGGTGAGTGGAGTAAGAATCCAGACCAATATGAACCGAAACGAAAATCATCGTAGAAGCGGTACGGTTTTACCCTCTGCCCCAGAGTTCCGTGCAAGCTCTGAGCTCATCACTTCACACACATCTCGCTAAAGGTTGTTTCGATCTTTCCAATCGATTAATCAATCAACAGTGTCTGATCCTAAGCAAGCGGCATTGCTGCGCCCGAGTTGGGCACATTGGTCAACTCCATGACATCGTCATGCGATATGGGATTCCATCCATAGTCACCAGTGCTAGTAGGCACAATCGATCTTTGTTGCCGTTTTCCAGCCATCCAGTACGATCCTAATCCTCCTGCCATGAGAACCGCCGCCAACATCCAACGCCAAGCTGGTGAACCACCTCCAGAACTGTTGTTGTTGTTGCTGCTGCTACTGTCTTGCGGAATATAGGGTGGCCGGGTACCACCATAGTCGTAGGTGGATCCAGATGCATCTCCCGTTCCTTGAAATTCCACCACTGTGTCATGGGCTACATTGCGCAAGATTCTGGCCAATTTCGCATCCATTCCGGTTGGGTATAATACCCCGATTGCCTCACATCCAAGCCAGTCAGAGTTTGAAAAAGGACACATCCGCAGAGATAGGAACCTTCCAGTGTTGGATACTTGCGTGCAATATTGTTGTCGGGAGTGGGATGTTCTTCCACAGTCATGTAGAGTTCTTCAAATAAGGATCCCCTCCCATGAGGATCCTTGCCCTTGTCCACAATGGACTGGTATAAATGCGTTGATATGCCAATCCTGTGGGTGCAATTTTCAGGTGGGCGGTAGCATTATCCTTGAGAATATCGATGTAATAAATCTGGTATCCACGAGAAATTTTGAAGGCTGTGGCTTGACACTTGAAGATAAAGACTAAATAGATACGTTAAGGAGCGAGGGGGGCGAGGCTAGGCAAAGCAGTGGCTGCGGTGGTGGGGGGCTGGTGTGGTGGGCATACGGGGAGAGCAATGAGGACGCGCGCAGGGCAAAGCAAGGGGGGGGGGCAGGGAAGGGGGGTGCATGGAGGAAAACCAGGAAGGACAAGGGAGCAAAATTAGCGGAAGAGTGCAAGTGCACCATCGGCATCCCAGAGAGAACGACGGTAGCACACTTGACGGTTCCAACTCCATCGTTTTGTTATTTCTGTGGATGGCATGCTTGCCCCCCAAGCCAAGATTCTCTTACAATGGCTTGCTTCTGCTACTGCCTCCAAAACTCAGTTTTCCTACTCTCAAGTGATGTTCTTCATGGAGACCCCTATCTCAATTGCCCTTGTGAAAGCTACCCATTTATGTCTCTGTGGATCTCACAAAGCCAAACCATTTGGCCCCCGTAATGGTCCTCACTTTCTTGCCCCTGATCCCACAGAACCTAGTCCTGAATTTCGACTGTTCTTTGCTTAAGCTTAATTTCCCTACTCTAAACCCCATTCGATTTAAGGTGGTCGCACCCAGGACGTAAGCCAGCTTTAGACTGTTAATAATAATGACGTTGGAAACATACGATCTTTTCCAATTGTAGGGAATCTGGAATTTCGATGGATTGTAATTGAAATTCGTAATCTGGCCGGATTCTTGGTTCGCGCTATTTCCACACCGCAAATTCTAGCTTCGAGCGAGTTCGAGCACCTCTGCTAATAAGTCTTTCAATTCATATAGCATGAATGAAATCCGTTAGAGCACGCCGAGCTCATGTTTGGAGCCAAATTTTGGAAACATCTCGACCCCGTACGTTGACCAGAATGCCACAAACCTGGTGATAATTTATTTGACCGGTGTGGTAGTATTGTTGAGGAAAATGATGTCGGAACATAAAGGTACACCCGTACCGCAATACTGGAAGCCACCCGCTAACAGTGAAATAGCCAAGCTTAGTGCCAGTGGAACTGGTTGGAGCAAGCTGGCTGGAATAAACCAGTGTGCTCCTAGCACTGAAAGGACAACTCGAAATGCCAACAGTGGGGAACCAATAAACACAAGAAGAAGAGACTTCTTTTTGAGGAAGACCACAATGAAGAGGAAGGCCAAGAAGAGGCCACTACAGGAGAGGAAGAAGAGGCCACCACCGAAGAAGAAAAAGAAGAGTGATCTTGTTGTCACTGAATTCAATACCAAAGCCAGTGGACGCATACTGTTGGAGACGAGTCAAGTCGAAAAGCTGGTATCCGATTTTGCCAAATGCCCTCATTGCCAGCTAGACGACAAGCCCATGCCATTGATCATGACCGTCCACAACTGCGGGATTGTGTCACAAGTTGGACTGAAATGTGCCAACGAAGAATGTAATTACATCTATGATTTACCCACTCCCGCAAAGACAACAATGCATACTGACGACAAGTATGAGAGGCTGACGAATTACCAACTAATCTATTGCTCGTCCTTGGGATGATAGCGAATGGAGACGGTGCTACCGAAGCCGGCAAAATGCTTGGTTTGATGGGCCTTCCGAATGAAACTACGATGGGCAAAAGCTTTCCCACAATAGGACAAAAGATTGGCCTCGTCTTGCGGGAATTGAGGGACGAAATCCTAATGGAAAACCTGGAGAGCGAAGTCAGACGATCAACAACAGAGGATGCTACTTGGCTTGGAAGTTGTCAATACCGGAGCAGCACAAAAACCATCCCGTCAAAGTCAAATTGAAAGGATCGTATGACGGTGCTTGGCAGCAGAAAGGATCGGGTCTTCTCTACAACTCATCGTCTGGGCATGGCAGTCTTGTCAGTGCCGCGACCCAAAAGGTTATTGCTTTTGGTCAAAAGAGCAAGAAGGGCAACCGGAGTGAACGACACGAAAAGAAGCACCGATACCCGTTCTGATTATCCGGAGCACACCTATTGTCCCCGCAACCATGATCCAACCGACTCATCAGGTGCGATGGAGGCAGCATTGGCTTTGGAAGTTTTAATCGACCTATACGACAATAAAGGCATTATTCTGGAGCTTCTTTGCTGTGACGACAACTCGTCCATTCGGGCTGATTTGAAGTGGTTGAATAAAGACTACCTAACCAACAACAATACTACCGTCTACCACAGGTGCCCAAGACCAAGGGAAAGAATAAAAGTGAACTACAAGACCGTCCCAACAAAGGGAAATTACCCAGCCATATTCTCGAGCCAAAGTCTTATGCTGATCCCAACCACCGCCGCAAACAGTTGACCGGGGAACTCATTCGTTTGGATTTGGCCAAGGTTGCCGACAAGAAGACAATGCCGAGGTTAGATTCCATTCGACTTGGCAAGAACTATGGCTACATGGCTCACACACTCAAGACCGCGATGAATCCGAGTTTGTGGATGTCGCCTGGGCCTGTTTGGAGCACCACTTTGATACCCACGACAAATGTGGTGCTTGGTGCGCTCGGTGCAAGGCAACGAAAGAGGAGCAAATTGCAAGCAAGAAGTCTAACCGCGACAATAAAGAAGATGCGTAGCTTTACGAGCTGCTACAGAAGACTATGGGGCGCTACTGTGAGCTTGAGCAATTGAGAGAGATTGTCCACGGCTTGGACACGAATGCAAATGAGTCATTCAACAGCGTCTGTACCTGGTTCGCACCCAAAAACAGGGTCTGTTCCGGGTCCTGTTCGCTAGCCAATCGTCTTGCCTTTGCCGTCAGAATCGTCTCTCTTGGATATGTGGAGTTTTTCAACCGTGTTTTCCTCAAGCTTGGCATAGACATGACAACTCACGTTCAACATTACCTCACCGTCAGGCAGACCCAATGACAGAAACGATTAGACCGGCTCAAGACTCCGCAGTACAAACAGTACCATGCGGAAAAGAAGAGTGAACACATCCGGTTGGAAACGATTGCCACGAAGAAGGCTTGGGCAAAACGACACAAGTGCTACCGCCCAGGCATGAACTTGGATCTTCCGCTAGAACAGCTTCCGAGTCCTGCTGGGGCATCACGGATTGATGCTGAGAAGGCCGCCAAACGGCCAGCAAAGAAGAGGAAAATGACAAAGACGACAATTAGCAAAGGCAGGTTTTGTTCCTACTGCGGTAAGAAGGGCCATGTTACCACCGGATTTAAAAAGTGCCTCAAGACTGGCGACTCTATGGCTGGGAAGCTGTTCGATAGGTTGACTGGGAAGCTATACTATCAGAGCTGGCTGCAAGCACTCCAATTGCAGCTTCTATTCCATCTGTTACTGATATTACCCAGCCCACAACCAATCTAGAAGCTGAAATTGAGGAGGAGGTAAGCCCAGAGGAAACAGCTCAAGATTTGATTCAAATAATAGAGGATGGAACGAAGGATTTGGCTAATTTGGAGTGCATTCCCTTTGATACACTTGATGGAGATAATGACGAAGACAATGTTGGAACCCTTGATGATGACACTGATAGTGATGCCGGCAGCAATGCCATCTAAAGTAGTAGCTAGTAGTGCATCTGTTGAAATCTATAGAACATCCTTGCCTTTGACACGGTACCAAGCGTCGAATCATGGTGGTACAAGTAGTGAGGAATCAACAGCACGTACTGGTGGAATCATTGATCTAATGGCGAAATTGGTCATATCTACGTATGAAACGGCTAAGATTCGAATTCTTAACCGTTTATTTTTGGCGTTCTGGTGTTTATTTTGGGTCGAGAAGCCTTCAAATATTCACCTCACATTTTTGAGTATTGTGTGACTGGATGGCGACGACGATAGTAAATAGTACAAAAAAGACGGATTGGTCTCACTCACTGGATGTTTAAAATATTTTATGCCGGTGAAGCAGGATTCCCTCGAATAAACAAAACTGTGACTAGAACACTGTTAGAGAGCTCATTCTCTCGATGCCTTCTGCTCGAATGGCCCTGCAACCATATATTTAGCAGCTGCTAATAGTGTAAGGAAGGCAGTAGTACATGGTTGCGGGGCCATAGCAGTAGCATGCATCGAGATTTATCGGTCGGAAGCAGCCAATTCGAAGAATTGTCACGCCTTCTGCCACAACAAAGAAAGATAACAGGACGATCAGATATCGCCCCAGGTCCGCCAGCTACACCTTCTCACTACTAATAGACAGAGGGTCTGTACTTATAAGGGTGGGAAATTAGCTTCCAAATAGGCGAAAGGATAAATCAATATGAATCAATACTAATACGTAGTATAAGAATATAGAATTACAGAGCTGTAGAATTGGTGATATCAACAGACCCATCTGCTCCACCCAAAGCATCAATGGTGATTTCAGAAAAGGCCTCACTAGCTACCAAAGAATACAACAATGTTTGGTTGGTGGCTGTCACAGTGATCCAACCAGAGGATATGCCGTCGCCATAACTGTCCGATACAACCAATCTGTAGGATGTGTCAGAGCTGACTGCGAAACGAAAGGAGTAAACATAACTTCCAAACTCCAGTGGACCACCTGATTCCATGGTGTCCCAGATACCAGTCACGTTGGTTGCCTTCTGCCAAAGCCATGATGTTTCTTCTGGATAATTATCGGTTTGGATGTTCAGCATGACATCAGTACCTCTGATAGGAAACAGACCAGGCCAATCAGCTGGAGCTTCTTTGAGGTTGGCACAAGTGGAAACAGGGGGAGTTTCATTTAGGGAACAATCACACTTTAGAAAAGAACAAAGATGTTCTGGCACAGTTCCGGAGAACTGATTCCCATATAGACTCAATCCCATAGATGCATTTAGTTGGCTGGGCAGTGTTCCTACCAGGCTGTTGTCGTGAAGCGCCAGATTGGTCAAAGATGTCAGCATGCCAACTTCAGTTGGAATTGTGCTGGAAAACTGATTGCCATAAAGGAGAAGCTCCCGCAATGATTTCAGGAGCCAAAGCTCCACAGGAACCGAGCCAGTGAACTGATTGCCGTTCAACCGTAGCTTACTCAAAGCAGTAAATGCTCCAAACTCAGAAGGAACTGGACCGGTAAGCTGATTATCAGAAAGGTCAAGCCAAGATAATGACGTATGTTGACCAAACTCTGAGGGAAAATGTCCAGTTAACTCATTTCCATCCAACCGAAGCCTAATCAAAGAAGTAACTGCACCAAACTCAGAAGGAACTTGACCGGTAAGCTGATTTTGGTCAAACTCTAGGTTTGTCAATGAGGTTAGGAGCCCAAACTCTGAGGGGATCTGTCCAGATAACTCATTTTCATGCAACCGCAGCCTAGTCAACACAGTAAATGCACCAATCTCAGAAGGAACTGGACCGGTCAACTGATTTTGATCAAACCAAAGGCTTGCCAGCGAGGTTAAGAGCCCAAATTCCGAGGGGATATGTCCAGTGAACTCATTTCCATACAACCACAGCACTGTTGAAGCAGTAAGTGCACCAATCTCAGAAGGGATTTGACTGGTAAACTGATTAGCCCAAAGTTCAATAAATTCCAATGAGGTCAGGAGCGCAAGCTCTGAAGGAAGTGGGCCGGTGAATTGATTCTGCCCGAGCCAAAGATCAGTCAACAAGGTAAGGAGCCCAAGCTCAGACGGCAAATGGCTGGTCAATTGATTCTTTCCCAAGTCAAGCTGGGACAATGAAGTCAACAGTGAAATCTCAGAGGGAATTTTGCCAGTGAACCGATTATCCTTCAAATCCAACCTTGTCAATCCAGTAATCTCATAAAGTTCTGTTGGTAGCAGAGACGCCAATGGTGTAGTAATGTCATTGCTCCAAAGTTCTACACGAAACAAGGAAGTCAAGAGCGCAATCTCAGGTGGCAAAAATGGGGGGAGACCAGAGAGCTGCAGGTCTTGCAGATCCAGAGACGTGAACTGCCCATGGTCATTGCATGGAAAAACCGGATCAGATAATTCCCTGTAATCTCCATCCCAAGGTAAAAACAGTCCAAATCCACTCGAGAACCAGTCACACTCTTCCACTGTGTCGTCCATCCATCCATGGCCTTTGATTAAATGGTTCCAATTGTCTCCCATGAAGGCGTAGAAAAACGTAGCAAGGGCAAACAATTGTGTCTTTCTCCATTCAGGCAAGTTTGTGATGTTTTGGTGATTGGATAGCCACTGCCATGCTTTCCACTGCGGAGTCTCGCTGCTATTGTTGATACTGGCCAAAGTGTTATCGGGAAGACTGTCCAAGAACAAGTCTAGAACCCCAGTGGGAGCAGAGGATGGAACTTCCGATGGTTCCATGGACCCATAAATCGTCGGTGCACCTGTTTGAATGGCTTGAGGCTTGGGCCTGAGTCCGACACCCAAACTGATGGCAATAATAACAAGGGAACAAAAGATTATGGCATAGCCAACTCTCCGACACTGCCTCTCCTTTTCCTCTTTGTCAGCATGTTTTTCTAGCACTGCAACATCTACTTCTTGGGCTTCCTGCATGTGGGCTTCTTCCGTAACTTCCCTTGCTTCCACCAGCCCATGGTTTGTGTCAGGTGATGGTGGAGTAGGTACGATGCCCTGCTCAAAATGATTTTCTTCATCATGGTGACGATCCCTAGGCCCTGTTACTTCTTCAGCCGTTGTAAGTGCCGCAGGAGCTCTGCTGTTCTTGCGTAAATCACACAAAGTTGTCATCGTCATCACATCATGTGCTGTTGTTTGCTGTGTGTCCACGCCAGATGGGCTCTTTCTCTGCAACCCTTTGGTATTGCCTTTGTTATTGACATTATTATTGTGTTTCGTAGAATCTGTGGTTGTGTTGCGGTCTAGTTGTAGTGTCGCTCCACTACACATTGCCCGTTTGGCTTGCTGCGCCTTTGTCGATCGTCCCAGCCCATGAGACTCCATGACGGCACCAATGGTACTGTTCCGACCTGAGTTTTTTGTAGGGGAAGTGGTTGTACTGGAGCTTGGCGAATGTTTACCCCGTGCGGCATTCCGCTTGTGAGCCAATTGTTCTGGAGTACGGGATAATCCCTTTCTTGACAAAGAAGCTGAGGATCTAGGAGTAGCAAATATGGCCCCTGGTTTTTTGTCGTCTACCGCAGTGTCAACATCAACTTGGTGGCGGTCAGCCAATTGCTTTGGAGTACGGGATAATCCCTTTTTTGACAAAGAAGCTGAGGAACTACGAGTAGCATATATGGCCCCTGGTTTCTTGGTGACTACCGCAGTGTCAAGATCAACTTGATGGGTGCTCTGATGTGTGCCCCTTTCGGCATTCAGCTTGTCAGCCAATTTTTCCGGAGTGCGGGATAATCCCTTTTTGGACAAAGAAGCGGATGAACTAGCAGTGGCAAACATGGCCCCTGGTTTTTTGTCGTCTACCTCTTTGCGGTTGGTCAGAAGATCGACTACCGGTACGGCAGTATCAACGGTGCATCCACTGGGATTGTCTTCTTTGCAGGCTCTCATCATAGTAGCTTCTGTACTCATGGCAGCTGTAGTTTCTTCTTCATTAGTACTAATACCACAACGCCCGTTTGCTCCTTTCATCTTGCTCTACTTCTACAGTGCCGCTGCCGTGTTTTTTTAAATTAAGGTTTGGGCTTCTTTTGTTCCACCCCTCGGCGAGAGACAAAAGACTACTAGTACACGTACCACAATTACCATACAGAACGATGTAGACAACTTTGTTCCGCCCTACTAGTAGCTAGCTACTGGTAGCTAGAGCTAGCACATCACTGGTACCGTTTGGGATTACAGCAGCTACCAGTACCAACTGAATGGGGGCGAACTCTACACTGTCAAGGCTGCTCCGGAGGCACTTTCTTGTATCTTGGAGCAGCTCCAGTCTATAGCCAACAGCACCAGCAACCCCTCTCATGGCAGTACTAGCTAGCTGCTAGCTAGTACAGCAAGTGATATGGTCAACCAAACTCACCACACACTAATTTCACTACTATTAGAAGCTGCTAAAGCTCAGATGCAACGGGAATCACCAGCAGACAGGCTGCAGGATCTGGTTCCAGGTTGCTTGCGTGAACTCCTGGTAAGTTTTGCTTCATTGCCAGCCAGCCAGTCGCAAATAATGAGCATCCGACTTCAAATAATTGCATGGCTCGTTGTTGCGGTGGTAGCGTGGTAGCTGCCTTGGTTAAGTTTGTGGTGATTAGCTTTCTCGAAGAAAGCAAAGCAAGTGCAACATGAATACATACATGGTACATCTTGTAGAACTCCTCTACTACTAGCTAGCTAGCTAGCTAGCTAGCTTGGACATGTAAAGGTAACCCGAACCCGCACCCACCGACGCAACGCCAAGTACCAAGAGCTGTATGTACCAAGTACCAAGTAAGTAAGCTGCGATTTTTGCAGACTTGCCGAGCTCCTGACTGATGACTGCTTGGTGGCCACAAGGAACACTTCCCCCTAAGTCCTGTAAAACCTACTCATACGATCGGAGAACCGGAAGTGGGAAAGCACATGAAGAAAACGGCAAACATTGCAAAATACAGGAAGTGGGGAAGCGTTATTTCCCCTTTCCTTCGTTTCTTCATTGGCCACCGTTGCTGCCCTGCTCAGCTTACTAGCTAGTACTCACTTTTCGCTTTTACCACCAACCTGCATTCTTGTCAAACCCAACGTCCCTCCTGCATCAATTTAATCTGCAGCTCACCTTTCTACCAAAACGATACGACAGCATAGATAGAGTTGAAGAAACGTATAAGATAAGAGGGATCAAGCAACCATGGCGGTATCAATCGAAGCATCCATACCGGTATACCCAAGCCGCATGGCCAAGGTTATCTTGTGGCTGTTGATTGCCGTTGGTTGTTTGGGAACGGCAACATTCGCGCAAGAGGAAGAGGAAGCCGTTGTCTCTCTGCTTCGACCGGATGGGGCTTGTGCCGTTGCCAACATGTTTGTAAGTCCGTCTGATGTCACAAAACTATGGGTATATACCCCCTGGATACCTATCTCTTATCTGTTCTGCTGGATACGATACCCTGCTGTCTTATCTTACATTCATTTGTATTTATTCAGCCGTATACCATTGGACACGGTCGCTGGCCTCCAACAGCGTTTCAACAGTTGAGTTTTTCGTGGGCCGCTTCGGCGCAAATGGCAATGGATCATTTCAATGCCCGCGACACGAGTGTGATTCCCGAGTTGCAAACGTTGGCTCCTTCCAACGGCGAGTGCAGTGTCTACTTTTCTCCTCCCACCGTGTTGGACAGTGCTCAAGAAGGACCTACAGCTGTCAAGGCACTCTGGACCGCCACTACTAGCACGATACAACAGCAACAGCAACCGCAGCAACACACTAGCAATGATACCCTCGCCTCCTCGTACTGTGCTGTCTTGGGACCCATGGATCCTCGTGCGACCGAAGAAGTGGCCGCCATTACCACTGCATTGGGATTGCCCCACTTGTTTTACTACACCGAATCCAATCGATTTTGGAATACTGGGTTGGATGGAAACACCGTCGGAATGCCACTGTCACCGCATTCCCGCGCTCACATTATGCTCCAATGGCTGACGGAACATCAACGAGAGTACCTGGCAGTACTCCACTACCCTAAGGACGGATCGTCCGATCTCGCCGAAGAATTGTTCAGTGTGGCCAACAATCCCGACGAATACTACCACAAAGAAATCATTGTTCAAAACTTTTTGCGCGTGCTGGGTCCAGGGCAAGTACCCATTTTGCTCAATCAAGTCCAGGAATCCGCCATTACCACGATACTCCTCAATTTTGACAATCCACGCGCCATTCTCTCTTTGGCGAATGGGCTAGCGGATGCCGGAATGCTCACGGACAAGTATCTCTACATTATGTCGCCGGATGCCATTCCCACGGATCAACGATTGCAAGATGTCTATGGACACGACAATTATCCTGCCGGATCCAATGTCGATCGATTGCTCTCGTATTCCATTGTCTTTGATGTGATTGATCCCTTTCGAGTCGACGATCAAGACAACTTTTTGCAAGCTTGGAATGAGTTGGATTCCGACATGGTACATCGCATCAATGCCCAAAATCCACTCTCTCCAACATCCCCATCCTACTTTGAAGCACCCACCGATTACTTTCAAACGCAGACACCCAATCATCATTCCTCGTACATTTACGATGCCGTCATGATGCTCGGGATTGCCGCCTGTCAGTTACAAATGCAAAATGCTACGCTTGACTTGCAGACCATGATACCGCACATCCACAACATGTCGTCCTTCCAATCCGCGTCGGGGCGTATCTCGCCCTTTCCCTACGACACGGCCTATCGCAATCCCAATACCGACTTTGAAGTTGGACTCTACAATATACTACCCGCAACGACAGCCTTGGGCAATCGTACCTACACAGCTTCCTTGGTATCGATTTGGAGTGACGGAGCATGGAATGACGTTCCCAATGTCTCACTCCTCTACCGCGATGGGACCACCACGCCTCCTCCCAGTTTGTCGTATATGGACAACAATTACCTCTCGACATCGGTCCGCGCCATTGGATTCAGCGTCATGGCATTGACATGGTTCATTGTCATTGGAGCCATGGTGGCCATTGTCTCGCTCCGATTTACCAATACCATTCAACGTGCCCAACCCTTTTTTCTCCTGCTTCTCTGCATGGGATCGCTCCTGACGAGTTTTGCCATTTTCACACTGTCCTGGGACGAAAACACGGGTGCCACGCAAGCACAGTTGGATTTGGCGTGTGGGACGACGCCGTGGGCCTTTTTTCTGGGACAAATCATTACCTTCATGGCACTCTTTTCGGCACTGTGGCGATTGGATCGGGTACTCCAATTTCGACGACGCAACAAGGTATCCGTACGACAAGTGTTGGGACCACTCTTGGTGCTGTTGGGCATGACACTGATTCTGTTGACCTTGTGGACCGTGTTGGATCCCTGGACGTGGCAGCGCGAATGGATCCGTCGCGTACCGGCGGAAACCTACGGAGCATGCACGTGCGACAACGTTTGGGCGTTCTTTGGTCCTCTCATGGCACTCATTGTCGTCAGTGAAGCGCTGGCGGCATTCTTTGCCTGGAGAACCTCGGACGTTCCGGAAGACTTTAGCGACAGTCGGACTGTGGTCCTCGCCATTTGCTTCCACGTGCAATCCTGGTTGATTGGAGTCCCCATTCTAGGAGTGTTGCAAGATTCGTCCGCCAATGCGACCTACCTCGCTCGGGTCTTGGTGATTTGGATCTTTGCCATTTCCAGTGTCTTGGTGGTGGTCGGACCACGGATCTATCGAGCGCAGTTTGTGGAAGGTCGTGAGGGAGTCGTCGGAAGAAGTCGTATTCGGTCGAGCATGTCGGCAAGTGCGAATGACCGCAATTCCGCGCGGGTTCACATCTCCGGAATCAATGTACCGTCCGGACCTTTGGGTGTGCGTAGGGAGGAAGATTCTTCGACCATGTCACCACCACTACCAACAGTACCAAGGGGCGCACGAAGAGACCCCACCTCGAGTATTTGTTCCACCAATCCGGATCCTTCGGCGAATGCCTTTGAACCCATAGCGGAAGAGGAAGAGGATGAACCTGTCAGCAAAGCTTTGACCAAAGAGACTGTCGACGCCAGCGAGTTGATGCAGACGGAGTGTGGCAAAGAAGAGGGCGACGACCGTGACGAGTTTGCATGTGAATGAGCTGTGCTGTGCTGTTTTACTTTCCGTTCGACCCGAGCATGCACAGATCCTTCCGATCTAGAGCCCGATCAAGGGCAGCAGCTGCACTCCACAACCCAAAGTGGCAGCACTAAGCAGGGATGGGTAGAAACAGGATTATTCCATTGGCCTGGCAACATCAGGGCGCCAACCAAAAGAACACACATGTCCTGTGGTTACCCAATCCTGTGTTGATCAGGTGCATACTTTACGCACTTGGGGCCATTACGTAGTGCGAGGTAGAGCATCTAGCTAGGGGTTTAGCTTCTCGAAAATTTGATTGTTTTAGGAATGAATCAAACTTGGGATTATCCAGAGGGGTACCGTACCATCGGATAGATTCCGTGTCAGCCCTGAATTCTTCTTTTAGCCGTGCTTCTTCAGACGAACTTCGAAGGCCCTGTTGTTGATGCTGTTTCTGGCGTGGTTTATCGTGGTTACTTACTAGCTACCGGTAGATAGCTATGAGCTCTACAAGCTATGCTTAGCTCTCTAGCTTAGAACTTCTGTACCTCGAAAACGGAAAACTCTTGACACCATTATTTGGTTTCAAAGAGGGGCAACAACATCCCGCAAGAACACCAGGACTGGATCCAAAGCCTGTCAGCTTATCCCCAGCCGATCCATTCTCCGTTCCTCCTGTACTGGACTCCTTTCCAAGAAAAGTCCTTTCCAAGAAAAGGAAACGGTCATTATTCCTTGGTCATTACGAATAATGCTTTATGATGAGAATACCCCCATTCCGATTTCTCGCCATCGGTTTAACATCCAAGTCTCCTTGAAGTAGCATAATGGTCAGTTCAAACATGGAAGAGCTGATGGAAGATCATGGAAGTCTCCTTGAACCAGAAGCACATAAGACTTAGTTTGGCCATTACTGTACCATTGTACTGAGTGCTATTAATACTCCAAGTACACGCCTGTCACTCGGCGATTGAGGCATACTAGTACCCATACCGCTACTGCTAGTACGAACCGGTACACAGCTGTACATGCACTGTTGGTAACTTTCTTTGAGCACACACTCTTCTCCTGAGAAGCTCACAATATTCTAAAAAGCACCTCCTGATCACAATAGTTTTGTGCAACAGACCATGTTCAGTCACTTCTGGAAAAAGTCGAGCAAGAGGAATGAGAATGCTCTGGACAAAGATGCCCCTGATGCCACTTCGGTGAGCACCAGCAGAAGCAGTGGCAGTTTGAGGAGCAGTAGAAGCAAGAAATCGAGGCAGAAAAACAAGAGTAAGAATCAGCAAGATGCCTCTGAAATCAAGACGCCAAATGAACAAGTAGTTGAGCGCTTCTTTGCCAAACTGAATGCCCACGCCTCCACTGAAGAGTTCCTTTCGTTTTTCACATCCGGTGATGCTCCAATCAAGTTTGACGACAGCAAGGTCATGAATGCTACGATTATGGCTACGGAAATGCAGAAAGTGTATGCTGGATTTGGGGATCTTCGCCTGAACTATGGCTCTGTCAAAGAAGTCAAGCCAGATGTTGTTCTTCTTGATGACCTCTACGCTACTGGAACTCACACAGGTCCATACCAGTTCGCCAACTTTCCTCCCGTGGAGGCTACTCACAAGAGCATCGCGACGGATCCTGAACGATGTTGGTTTCATATGAAGGATGGTAAATTCAAAGGCGAGGAAGTCATCGCTTTGGGGAACCTTACTGGACCCCCTGGCATGTATATCGCTGTGGGAGGAAAGATGGACATTCCACCTGGAGAATAAAGTGGCTGGCTGCCTGGACACTGGATGATGTGTGCTGTGTTGCTGTGTGAAGGCTTTAAAAAGTAGAATAATATTTGTTGCAAGTTGCTTGATAAAGCGCAATGTTGAGCTAGTCGTTCAGCCATCAGGAATACCTGCTTAGTGGCACGCTCGTAGTTCACTTGTTGTTATGACCACGATGACCGCGACGAGTTTGCATTTGGTTGAGCTGAGCGGTTTCAGTTTCGCTTTCCGTTTCAATTGCACCCGAGCATTACACATGCTGACCCGTGCATCCACGGAACCTACTCACCCAGAGCCCGATCAAAATGGCAGCACCAAGCATTGCTGGGTAGAAAACAGGATCATTCGATTGGCCTGGCAACATCAGGGCGCCAAGCCGACACTCATGTGTTGTCGTTACCCAATCCTGTGTTGTCCCATAGACTACATGTACTGAAAGTTAGAGGAAAATAGTGCGCCAACTCAAAGAACACCCATGTGTGGTTATCGGTACAGTCGTACCCAGTCCTTTGTTGCCTACTCTACGAAGTTGGCGCCTTTACAATAGTGCAAGATAGAGCAAGCAGGGCGCGTCCTGTGGTTACCCAGTCCTGTGTTGAGCTACTTATGAACTTGGCCTACTTTACGATGGTCAGTTACGATAGTGCAAGGTACATGTAGAGCAAAGCGATTTCTACTATCTACGGGTAGCTACTAGCTAGATAGAGGGTTTAGCTTTCAATTGAATCGAATCGAATCGAATCAATCATTCTACACTTTAGAAGCAACAACCCCCGTGCATCCAAAATTGGATAGAGATTCAGCATTTATTTTGAAGAGGATTTTGGATTCTTCAGAATCGGTTCGGATTCATTCTTCAGAATCGGCGGTATCCCGATCTTTCCTCGCAAGTCAACTCGCATCAGCTTCCACTTCATTGAGACATTCCAAGAAAAGGAAACAGGTTGTGAGATAGTAGTACACTGTACCTGGTACAGAAGATACTCCGGTACAGACGACGATCATTATTCCTTATTTCTTGGTCATTACGAACAATGCTTGATGATGCTACAGTACCTTAGCTCCGAATACCCCCCCCCTGTCCTCCCCCATTCCGATTTCTGGCCATCGTTTTAACATCGAAGTCTCCTTGAAGCACAGAAGGGTTCAGCCATAACATAATATTATCCCCGCGGCAATTGAGGATTAGGCCTAGCACTGTTGCTCAACAGCTTGCTCAACTCACAATGGAGTAACTTTCTTTCAGAGCACACTCTTGTCTCTTGTCCTGAAGCTCACAATCTCAAAATCTCAATAGAGCACCAGATCACAATAGTTTTGTGCAACATGTTCAATCATTTCTGGAAAAGGTCGAGCAAGAGGAATGAGGACAAAGATGCCATTTCGGTGTGCACCAGCAGAAGCAGTGGCGGTTTGAGGAGCAGCAAAAGTAAGAAATCGAGGCCGGAAAACAAGAGTAAGAACAAGAAAGATGCCGCTGAAATCATGACTCCAAACGAACATGTAGCCGAATGCTTCCTTGCCAAAGTGAATGCCCACGCCTCCACTGAAGAACTCCTTTCGTTTTTCACATCCAGTGATGCCCCAATCAAGTTTGATGACAGCGAGGCCATGAATGCTATGGTTTTGGCTACAGAACTGCAGAAAGTGTTTGCAGGATTTGAGGATGTTACTTGGAACTGTGGCTCTATCAAAGAAGTCAAGCCCAATGTTGTTCTTCTTGATGACTTCTACTTTACTGGAACTCACACAGGTCCATACCAGTTTGCCAACTTTCCTTCTGTGGAGGCTACCCACAAGAGCATTGTGTTGGATCCTGAGCGATGTTGGTTTTATATGAAGGGTGGCAAATTCAAAAGGGAGGAAACCATCGCTTTGGGGAACCTTACTGGACCCCCTGGCATTTATATCACCGTTGGAGGAAAGATGGACAGTCCACCTGGAGAATAAAGTAATGGAGGATGTGTGCCCTGTTGCTGTGTGAAGGCTGAAAGTAGAATATAATTATTGCAATTTCATGATAAAGTACTTAGTTGAGCTAGTCAAATACTTGGTTATAGATGGACACTCGTAGTTTAATTCTTTGTGTGATACCTGGCAATAGCTCTCACGCCATAACAAGGAAGGGGGTGCTTATCACGTACGGGTACACATCATTTCTTGAAGAAACGCAACCCTGATCATCTTTACTGTACTGCCTGCATCTCCTCTTCATTACTCTGCCGCTTCCACAGGAGCAAAGAGCTGGGTAACCAAGTCCTCTTGCTTGATTGCTTCGCCCTTGGAACAATCATTCAAGTATATTTCATAATGAGGGCACTCACGGGAACCTTTGCTCGGACACATCTTTTGAGACGGAATCCATTCCATGCATAATTTGCCCCAAGATTTGGGCAATCCATCATATCCACCATGGTGCATCATGGTGGCACAACGGTGTCCCGCTACAACAATTTCTTCCAATCCATCGGGGACCTTCCCACCTTTAGACTTTGCCTCCTTCTCAGGAGGGATGACCATGGCAGCCGCCCAAACCAAATCATCCTTGGAAGTGTTGGGGACATCACAGAGTACCAACATGGCAAAGTCAATCTTGGTGTTGGAGAATGTCTCCTTTTTGATCACACCAAGCCGTTTGAAAAGAGGACCGCAAGCGTCAAATGGGCCATGGCCCACAATGCCCCAAAACTTTCGGGTCGCCGTCTCGATGATTTTGGGAGTGTTCATGATGGTTTTCTGAATCTTTATAATGCGATCTCTACTACTACGAGCTTCGATCGTCAATGTTGACATGGCATGAAGATTGTGGCAAAGTGGATCTTTTCCTAAGACCCCCAAACCACAACCACTCCAAGTGGATCATTCCGGGCGTCTTCTGGCGGTGGAAAAATTCATGCCAACAGCTGGGACTTCTGAGTCACAGGTGGCTTGAAGAACTGGTGCGGTGCTTGGAGTCGTCTGTCTGTCGGCTGGTTTCTTCTTTATTAGGGACTAGGTTTTGTAGCCAAAACAAAAACGCCATCACGAGATTGCGATGGAGGACCCGTGATCACAGACGACGCTCCATGCCCATGCAACGTACCATGAGAATGTTTCGTACTAGCACATGTAGTAGACCTACACTACTACCACTGCTCTTATTGGTCGTGTTCTGTTGTTTCCATGTCGTACCAGTACAAGGCCATGAGAGTTGCTGCAAGGCCAAACTATTACAGCAGGGCATGATGGATATTCCCGAATATATTGATGATCCCGACGACCTGCCTCCTGAGGTGGACGTCCACGGGGAACCTCGAATGATTGAGAATGGGTGTGATGTCATGCCCGACGATTGGGACGAAGAAGACGATGGCGAGTGGGCGCCTGCTCTCGTCGAGAATCCCGACTATCAATGGACCCCGCGACAAATTCGAAATCCAGAGTACGTAGAACCACCAACATTTTCAGAAAAGTTATACACCGAAGTCCAGGCAGCCTTGCCGTGGGTCACACTGGGCATTCTGCTGACGGGCCTATTATCGAGTGTCACGTCAAATCTACCATTGGATTTGTTTATGACAGGTCTCTTGAACACCAATACCAATGGCACGGGTATAGTGCAACTTCTATGGGCGGCCGTGGCAGGACTCACGGTCCCCTTGTGCAGCTGTGGAGCCTTACCACTGTGTGCCGGGCTCCTCCATGGAACCAGCAGCAATACTCCAGGATTACCTCTTTCCATTGTCATGGCCTTCTTGACGGCCTCCCAATCCGCTGGGATCGATAGTGCAGCCATTACCTATGGATTACTAGGACCCACCGCCATGATGGGACGATTGCTGGGAGCCATGCTTCTGGCCGTGGCGGTGGGATTGGCATGTCCTTCTTCATCCCATAAACAACAGTCGAAAACCAAAAATCTGCTAGAAGAGACGTGTCATCCATCCGTCTCGACCTACTCTGGCATTGTCACTATTTGGTTCGAGACAGCCCTGGAAATCTACCCGACGGTCTTGACTGGATTGGCGCTCAGCACGGCTGCCTTGCACTATCTACCCTCCTTGACCAATTACAGCAGTTTTCACAATGACGAAACAACAACCACCACGACTACTGCTATAATTCACACACTCCTCACGAGAGGAACCGTCCTGGCATCGGCCATTCCACTCCAATTGTGCGAACACACATCCGTCACATTGGCTGCTGCGTTGCAAAAAGCGGGCGGATCACCGGGATTGGCGTTTGGATTCTTGCTGTCGGCACCCGCCATCAATCTGCCCAGTCTCTTGTTTGTCGCCACGGCGGCTTCGGTCCGCGCCATGCTACAAATCGTCACGACTCTCACCGTCACGGCCGTCATTCTCTCTTGTGTGGCGGATGCCGCCCACCTCGATTTCATGGCGGGACATGCCACGGGAGATATGGCCACCCTGCCCGACTGGTTTGCTGGGAATTGCACTTATCTAGCGGTCATGCTGGTGGTGGGTGGGCTGCTGCAAAAGTATTCCACGACAGCATCCAATAAGAGTGGGGACTGTTGCGATACTAGCAACGGCAAGATCAAGGCAGAATAATAAATAGAACATAAAATTTGCTTTCAAAAACTAGCTAGATTCAAGGTGTGCAATTGAGTATTATACGCACGGCCTTTTCTGGGCCTTTTTGTATAGCCCGAAAAGGGCGTTGAAAGGCGGTACCGTAACAATGGCAAAAGCGAGCCATATCTACCATACCGGTACATCCAACGCAAACTCGTATTAGCGGAACACCTGTTATAGAAAACAGCTTTTGGAACCAACCCAGAGACAATAACGGTAACACATGTGAGATGTTGTCCTTTGACAGCCTCGCTGTCTGATTGAGTGTAGGATTGAAAGGGGCAGAGCCGCCGGAAAACGACTTCGTCCAGCATCAGAGCAGCCGTTTCGTCCATTGCGTTGCGTTGCATTGCATTGCATGCCATGCATGTATAGGTTTACCCGAAGGAGCTCGAGGACACGCAGCTTCCAATATTAACCAGTGATAGCAGATCAAATCTGTTAACTTACGCCTTAGCTTTGTAAAAAAAGCGTGATTGGATCTACTAGTACGGATAACCATGCCACCAACACGTCAACGAGAAGATTGTGGAGTGAATGCCTCAGGGCTCGGAGAGGACCCGTCCCTCTCCACCATGGGTTTGACATTGGAATCGACATTAGCCTGGGCATCAGTGCTGCTTAACAGCAAGCAGGACAATGAGCAAGACCTGGCCCCGGAAGAAATCAAGGCCGCCTTAAAAGTGTACAAAGAGCTTCAGCGTGTCTTGAAGATTTCGACTCGAACTGAAGACACATTCTGCAAGCCACTGCTGCCGGAAGATTCCAACATTGGACCAACATTGTTTCATCAACAGTTCCTTGCCTTACTAGAAGAAGTCAAAGAGGCGCGACCCTTGACGAGGGAAAATCTGTCAGAAATTAATGATTTATTCATTCTCGACAACAGCCTGCGGGAAACCACAGTTGGAAGTGTACGTGGTCATACTTTGGAAGAAAAGCATCAGATTGTTGATGCCATTGCTGACACTGGATTGGAGGAAATCATTCTGGGAGCCTTTGGCAGCAAGATTTCGGTTGATAGTCAAATTGCTGGTCGCTGGACAGAGCTTGGAAAATCATTTGACAAGGCCTGGGGATTCTCAGATGCCTTTGATTTGGGAGGCTTTGATGAAGAGCCCCTCTGGAAATCTGCCGATGATTTTATGAAGGCCAAAAGAGAAGGCACTGAGTTGCCAGAGTATTGGGCACCCACCCAGGAGGTCAAAACTACCTACAGTGAAGATGATTTGGCACTTTTCAAAAGAGCTTATGTCAACTTTCCAAAACAGAATGTCTTTAGGGGACGCAAACCCAAGGATATTCTCAAAGAGTCGGAATCATCCAAAGGGCGTATCCCCATGGGACTACTGATGATGGCTGGCTATGGCATTTGCAATGCCATTATTGAGGTTGATACAGCAGTGGAGACTTTTGACTATGAGACCCACAATCTTGCGGAGCGATGCGAAAATCTGATTCAATGGTGCAAAAAATACTTCCCTCGACGTCAAAATGTGGCCAATGGAGAAGATGATACAGCCCGCATCTTTGTCAATTGTCGAGACTTTGTGAATTACCATCGAAGTGACAGCGGACTGGAAATGTGCCTGTGCATGGTGGATCAGCTCTGCCGATTGCCACCCAATCAGCGCCCCTTTGGCTTTCTTATGGAGGATCCTACTGGTTGGCTATGGCCAGATGAGGTGGGCCGACTGACCCGTCTCATAAAACTCACAATGCAGAGGGCTGGGCATCCAGATGGAAAGTTTCTGGTACATCTTCACATGTTCTTTGGGATGGCCGAAGCCTGTGTCCTATCAAGCATGTGCAATGGTGCCGATGGAGTCTGGGCTGCTCTGTGCAAGACAGGAGCTCAGGTGGGACACGCCTGTTCCACCATTACAGCAGTCAACCTATTCCGAGCCGGAGTGAAGAGCGTGGCAAAGAAGTACAATTTTGCCAAGATGTGTGAAGGAGCTCGCATGATTACCAAAATCACCACAAAGGAAGAATGCCTTGAATATGAAGAAGTCTATGGTGTGCGTGCTTTTGACGCAGGTAAGACATGCACAGGTTTGTGTACCTTGACTCTATCCAAACTAAGGCTTGTGGATGCCTCACACCTCACCTCTGTCCACCAATAATCTCATGCTGAAATTAGCATTCTTCATGTAAGTTAAAAGGTACCTCAGCCAGGGATGTATCACCACCGTGGAAAACCTTACCTTCCAAGTCTGCTGTGTTTACTGTCACTGTTTAAAGGTACACCATTCCTAGCAAACGGTATGCTGTCAAGGAGATAATGGATGAGCTCAACATTGATGATTATTATGTCCGCTTGAATGAGATTTCAGTGATGTCAGCCATGGAACGGGCCATGATCTGCCACTTTGGAACACCAGAAGATGCTGGATGGGACCCAAAACACTGCCCACAAATGTGGAAGGCGATTGTCAATCATCTTGTGACTGGCATCAGCCGAGACTACAATTCGCCACTTGGTCTAGGAACACTCTATGCTTTGGTGTCTTCAGAGGGTTTGTCACCTTCCATGATACGAACCATGCTTGAGTCAACCACTGTACCTGATACCCATCCAACTGTGATTGAATTTGTACACCGGTGGAATCGACTTTGTGCCAAGCACCTTGGTGAGGACTACACTTCTCCCATTTGTCAGTCAAAATCCATCATGATGCCCTGCACAAGTCTTGAGCTCCAGCCTCGTCTCCCAGCCATTCCATTTGAAGCATATCAAAAGGACTTTGATCTCAACCCTGTTGCTGCTCAAAATGTGCCCAGATTTATCCAAGTCGCACTTAAGAGAGAAGAATACAGGGTTATGCAAGAGAGTCAAAAGACCAAGGCTCCCATGCTGTACTTTGAAGAGAGAGTATTATCACTGAAACTTTTCATCCAAGAGGCAGAAAGCCTGCAAGTCCTTCCTTTAGTGGATGACTTCATGCTGAGAAGAATGTTTGATAACTTCTTTGGTGAAGGTGATACATGGGTGCAGGAATTGAAGATGGAACGGCCAAAGAAACTCAACAAACATATCCTTCGGGCGGCAATGATGGCTATGAAGTTTGATGGCAATCATGCTTTTGCCCGAATGATTCTGTCTGCATTCAAAAGGTTGGAATACAATGTTGGGTTGAGGGAAGATTTACAGAAGTTGCGGGAGGCTACAGACATGCAAAAGCTCATTCAGGCAGCTAAACGGACAGATGACAACAAGGCTCAACAATCTGCTCTAGATGATTGGGCCCGAGATTTTGATACTAGAGGCAGTGTTGCATATCGCAGCGGCAGTGTGTTGTTTGAAATTGACGATGACAAACCACTCCTCGAAGACTTAAACGAAGGAGCAAATGAAGATGACCATGCGGTCAGCACTGGAGAAGAGGCTGGGACCACGCAAGACGAGGGGCAATCCAAGAAAATCAATGGAGGACTGGCTCAGAAACTTAAGAAGATGTTGCGCTCACCAAAGTCCACCCCCAAGAATTCACCCAAGCAATCTCAGAAGCCTACCAAGAAAGCTCCCAGCTCTGGTGCCACACCACTGCATTTGGTATTGGACAATGCCATCAATGAGGTAGAATGCTAGGTATGTAGAGGCAAGATGACGTGGTCTGGCCTCCTTGCTCGCATAACCGTCGTGCCCAGGGCTCTCGCATCATGCTCAGGACTGTTATCAATTCCTCGTGGAAAGGCAAAAATGCATCGTAGAAAAAGGAGTATAGCAGCTAGCAATCTGAACTTGGACTGCGCCGGCCCGTGCCTCCGCATGCTGTTTGGTCAATTGTGGCCCCCTAGATTGTGCCCACCGGTACCATCCGATAGCTTAGATATTGTTGAGGTTAGGTCAGATTCGCCACGCCGCGGCAACGACGACGAGACGTCCACCTCTTGATAGGTTGGTGGCATTCGTTCATCGTGAGCAACCAGCCGCTTTTGCTTGTTTGCTTAGCCGAACCCTACCGGTAGCTCCAAGGATCGATTCGCGTCACTTCCGAGTTACTACGTCCACTGCATTTTGTATGTCGGAAAGGGCGGCGATCGACATAGTTGCTTTGTGAACATCACAACATCACAGACTCCCTGAAGCGGAATGGTCGTTCATAGTACTACTGTATGGCATGGAACCAGCTGTAGTATCATTTTTTGGTCACTTTCTCGTTCTGTAAGAGAACTTCAGGGGCCCAATTCTGGGGGTTAACGAATAGGAACATGAACCACTTAATTAAAGCTTTTCGCTTATGAACCAGAGCAGAGGGGAACCTCTATTAATAACTTGTACCTATCATACCTGTTGCTGTGAATTAGCTGTGGTCCATGGTACATCCATACTTGACGAGGCAGACTGCTTCCAAAGCACCAGAGCCCTCCTCAGACACTCCTAGTAGTAGTAGTCCCTCTACTGCTGGTGCTGACGATCCCTCTGCCCTTCCTGCCCGTCCCCCGAATGCTACCCCCACCGTTAATAACACACCTGCTGCTGCTCCCACTGCCCCGACTGCAGTAATCCCTCCCAGCCCTGCTGCCGCTATCAATCCATATACCTCCAGCAAAACTCCCCATGCTCATGTGGTCTGCCTCCCCGTTCCACCGAGCACGAACAAAAAATTAAAATCCCACCATAATTTGCCTACCGGAACCCCCACGCCACCGCCTTCTACCGATGCTTCTGCCACCCGCTGCTGTGAATGCAGTACCCAATCTCAATGCAAAGCCTCTCATAGTTGTGCCTGTGTGCGTGCTCAACGTCCCTGTACCAGTTGTGCTGCTCCCAACAATTCCTCCCCTGGCACAGCCATTGCCACTGCTGCCAGCTCTTCCCCACCTCCAGCACCAGCCCCTCCCTCAACTGTGTCTCCTGCACCCTCTGCAGCCCCTGCAGAGGCTGGGACTGTCCCCGCACAGACTGAGCCGTCTACCAGCATTCCCGGTGCGTCATCTCGGAGGCTAACCAGCGTTTGGCTGCGGTCTATTCTGACCACATCCATCTCAACCCTGGTGACCACCTTGATGGCGGTATTGCTGATGATTCCATTTGGCAAGGCTATTTTCGGCAGCTTATAGCCTACCAACCCCGTCAGTATGACTTGCCTCGTGGCCCTGTCGCCCGACGCTTTCTCCAGACGGCTGCCTCTTTATTGGATGGTATTGTAGACCGGAACCACAATTCGGAGAAATTTTTCGTCTTTGTTATCACTGTGCTCCAGCGCAGTCCTGAGGTTATTCGTGCACTACGCTAAAAGCTAGTGTAAAGATCTTTCGAGTGTTTTGAGTTTGAGAGAATGAAAGTTATGAGAGGATTAGAAAGCTATGAAAAACTAATCAACGAGAGAGATCCACAATCAAAGATCGTAGATCTGAACTCCCGCGGGAGACTGTAGAGTGTGATAGAGTAGGTTGCGGTAGCAATCCTACTCACTCCACGATCCAAAAACGGAACGCGTGGAAGATTCCTCGTCTAGCATTTATCTAGTAGCGTGGAAGTACTCCACGCTGGCTAAATATCTAGAGCGATGTTTCATCATCAACCTAGTATGACTAGAGCGGTCATTGAGAACCCTGTCTCGATGACTATTCACGAGAGACTCAGTCATGAGTCGAACAAACCCTATCTAGATCGAGTCGCGAATAAGGCTAAGAGCCGTGTATTGCATTCGCCCCCTGACAAGGGTCACGGAAGGCACGACATCAGTCGGACAAGGAGAACATATGAATTAAAGTGGGGGCACTCTCCGGAGATTGATGTAGACATGTGCGTCGCAACGATGGCAATCCTACAAGGGGATCAGCCTTGTATGGGTGTAAACCTTATGTTCCAAGTCTGGTAGACTGTGCCGCTACTGGCGGTAGTATGTCGGAGCCGTACAGTGCATTGTTATTGACTCGGTCTGTGTGGTAAGGACCTTGTGCGTTGGCTGACCTGTACTAACGGTTCTGATACGATGAATCATCATAGTATCGTTACATTGGTGTTGATGAGGGAACGTGTCGTGTTCTCCTTATCGTGTTTTTCTGGATAAGTGTTGGCGACGTCCTTAATGTTTTTTCCGGTTTGCTTTGAACGGATGTGTGAGTCTTGTCACGATTACGCGCGTAACTTGCGACGAAGTCCATGTCATCCCGGAGAGTCTTTCGACTCTGCGGGACTCACGTTCTCTGTCCATGACAGCCGGTCATGGATACTGGGTAAACCACGTCTTTTTCAGAACGGTGGTTACTCCGTCTGCTGTCTTGGAGCACCCTTGTAGTTCGTTGGTCCAATGAATCTACGGTTCCTTCCTGTTGGTAGAAGAGCGATAGCTGGATCACATCTGTTATCCTTTTAGTTAAGGGTGGATTCTTCTCGAGTAGTCCAACTATCTAGACACTCCAGTTCTTCCTTTTCGAGGAAGCCTTGTGTGTGTTGATTTGTCACCCCGACTTCTTGAAGTCTTGGAAAGGTCGTCTAACTATTCAACGCGAATCTGCCAGATCACGTCATTAAGATGAGTTGATCATATATGCACGACATTTTCTAAGTCATGCATCGTGTTTCATCTTCCTTGGAAGATGTCGGGACTATAACATAGCGCCCATTGGAAACTCTGGTACTCGTACTTTCCCCATCGGCGAGTGCATGGTCAGAGTTGCTTCGAGTGAGGTGCAGCTCAGATGTGTAGTGTCCTGTGTTCAGGTTCAAGGACTAGTTAGCCGCACTTGACATCCATTTGTTAAAGAGCATGTCTTGTATTATTGGGATAGGTAATCTTCCTCTTGATCCTTTTGTTCGGTTCCCGAAAATCAGAGATATCTCGATCGTTAACAGATCCTTTCTTTGGGAATGATAAAAGTTGGTGAGCGCCACTCGGAAGCGATGCACCTTCTTGAGTAACTACTGCCTGCAGAGACGATTCAACCTCCTTCTTCAAGAGTGTTGGTATGGACCCGTTGAGATAGGGTGACCCTTGTGATATGATTTAACTCCGGGTCGAAGTTCTAATTCTAAGTCGTCCATTCGCAACTCTCTCAAGGTATCCTCGACTGTGTGCCAGAAGCACTTGGGTTTGAAAGGAGCAGAGGCAGTTCTTGCTCTTCCTTATTTTAACTGGTTTCGACTCTGGCCACATCTAGCCTTAAGTCTGCTCGTTCGTATGTCGTATCAAAACTCTTCTTGACACTATCTGACATCTGTCGCATCTCTCTTTTTCC